TGTTGACTACTATAACTGTGTTAATGACTAAAATAAATAATAATGATGAATAGTACAAAATTCAAAAATTGTAACCCTAGGTCCTTAGCCTTTTGTATTATTAAACAAAATTTAAATCGTAAATAAAAGGAATACATATATTTATTTTTAATAATAGGCGTGGAAAAAAGAACGCAAGAAAAAAAATAATAAAGTTTTATACTGAAATTATATATAAACTAAGAAGGAAAAAGAATTGATTTATAGAATAGTACTAAAGTTAAAAATAAGTGTGATAAATGAATTAACTTGAATTTATAGTACTTAATAAATCATTGTTAAGAGTTTTATTTTTATTTTTTAGGTTCAAAATATTGTAAAATTGAAAACGTAGTGGATATGATTAATTTTATTGTGTTTTCAGTGAGGATAATGTTGTTAGTATCGTATTTTTTTTAATTATTAGTTAAATTGAAATATAGAAAATGGAGAAAAAAAAAAGCAATGTTGGGAAAAGAAAAAAAAAAAAATTGCTCCTGTGCGGAGCAATTTGCTCCAAAGTAAGCAAATATAAAATAAAATAAAATAAAAAAAATTTGCTCCGCACAGTGCGGAGCAATTTGCTCCAAAGTGTTTGGAGCAAATTTTGGCTCCTTTGGTTCTAAATTTTTTTTTTGCCTCCCCTTCATTTCTTTTATTTTTTCCCAATTTCCTATATTTCATTTCCCTTTACAAATCGTTGATTGAAGTTATTTTCTTCCTCTCCTTTTTTACCTTGTCAAAACTCTCTCATCTCAACCACCCCGTAAACAACTAAACAGAAAAGAATGAAAAAAATAATAAAACTAAACAAAAACGACAAAACCTAAAGCCTGTTGCAAAAAAAAATATTGAATTTATCGATTCATTCTAATGAAATAAAATCATAACAGAAATAATGAACTTAAAAAAAAAAGGACGAAAAACATAATAAAACTAAACAATAACGAACAAACATAAAGTATGTTGCAGGAAAAAAAATATATTGAAATGAAAAAGCAAAAATATAACAATGAATAAAAATTTACCTTCAATGGATTGTTCCGTCAATTCACAACGCGAACTGATAATTGAGAATATTTGTTGTTTGAAATCAAAATATTTTTCTTTTGTATAATAGTGATATAAGAGAAACATGAAACTGTGTAGTTGGAAATGTGTTTAGTGTATTTGCATGTATATATAGGGCAGGAAGCGGCAAAATACATACAGTGAAGAAGTTGGTTTGCAGATATTTATTCATAGGAAGTCGACAAACTTTTTTTAATTTTTATTTTTATTTTCTGTGTTTGATTTTTATTGGAAACGCGTTTACTGCATTTACATGCATATCACTATATCTTAATATAGTGGAGTCGGCGTGCAGATAAATTTTTTTTTTTTGGAGTCATCAGTGTTTTTTGTTGACTACTATAACTGTGTTAATGACTAAAATAAATAATAATGATGAATAGTACAAAACCAGTTTGAAACCAATTCTCATGTGAAAACGGCTGTGACAAAATGAAACAGTGATCCTTGGGTTCTCTCTTTTAAGTAGAGGAGGGATAAGGCCATTTTATACATAAGTTGACATCTAATTGCTAAACATTGTAATTAACACATTTTGAAATTGGTTGAATGCAGAGGATAAACATATATAGACCTCACAGAAATAGTTTTGCCACAAGTACAAAGAAAAGTTGACAGAACTTCCACAGAAAGGCATTTGGCAGTTTTTCATTGATTTTTGACGTTGCCAACGCAGCACCTGTATCATTTATGTCAATAATTTCCTGTATCTATGAAATTATCCTCGTAGGAAATCAATTTTAATCGGCGAGAAATCTATTCACCTTACCAAATAAGGTCCAAGACAAAAGCATATAAAGAGACACGTGGAGGTAGGTTATAATTTATGTAATATACACAATACTTATTCACCATCTATTAACATATATGTTGATATTTTTTATGGTGATATTATAACTGCTCGATTGACTTGAGCGTTGGAGAGCCCCCACTAAACAATCCTAGCACCACCTAGACGTGTGTTGTTTTGTAGGTCAATCTAATGTATGAGCAAGCTTAAAACGCAGATGGACCTGATGGACTCGACTTGGGTGGATTTTGAACTTAATTTTGGGTGACATATGGTGGATTGAATTTATGCTATCGAGTTATAGTTTTTGGACAAATTGGTGACATACTCTTAGATCAAAGATTCCATTTTATCCGGTAATGAATTTATAATTATCACAATATGGTTGAATTGTTCTTAGTTATGTGACTGTTGTAATCATGGCAAACACTTACAATTGAAGCCTACTCAAAAGCAATACATTTATTCAAAGATTATACGTTTTTGAATTTGGTTTTATATTAGAATTTTATTTCTAAGGTTAGATTGAGACACATTCAGAATTGAATAAATAATATCGATTTTCTTGTACATATAAGCGAATCAATAGGTACCTTCCATCGTATCATTTGGTATTAGGGCAACGTTCATCATGCAGTCGAGATTAATGCATAATTTGAACACTAGTAAATGATGTTTTCCAGTGGCGGATCCAGCCATAAGTCTGGATACGGGCTGCAATACAAATGTACATGGGCTTATTATTATTATTTTTTTAAATAAAAACTAAGGACAAAGTGGACATTTGCAGGGACAGATGCGGGTTATAATCCGGTTGAGCTCGTGCTTGTATCCATCCCTGATGTTTTGTGATCGTGATACACGATACAAATCAAGTTGGTGTGATGACACAGTGACTTGATGCTTAAACATTGGCCTAACCAAAAAGGAAATAACATATTAAATCGAGAGTATTTAAATTATGAGGACAAATAGATAGGGGAATAATGCAGGCTATTCAACATTTGCTCATTAATCCGCGGTTCCATTAATTTAAATGTAAAACTTATTAAATAACATATTTATTTATATAAATTTTAGATTCTAGCACCGTATTTACGTATAGCTAAGATTCATTTTTATCAATGACTTGTACACAATTATCATAAATCAATATGTTGACAAAACTAATCTGTTGGTGAGGATTAAAATAAGATTTTTAGTAGATTTTGATAAAAGCCGATGAAATGAGGATTATTATTATTTTGATGGAACTATTTACGAAGAGGAGTTAAACGTTGTAAGTTATTAAAATAAACAAAATTGTATCTCTTAGAGTTTCCTGAATTTTAGTCCAAAATGTGCATGTTTGGGAAATATTATAATTTCAAATCAACATTAAACTTTAATTTTAATTTTAGCCAAACATTCATACTTACTAACCATATATTATCTATATATTTCGTGGAACGCATTACTCCTCTTCGTTATAATCTCATTATAATTTCTCTCAAACGAGCTCTAGTATTGTGAGGTTATGCTACGAATATGAAGAGTCCAAGAAGTTGTTATTCGGAAAAACGTGTTTTACTATTTTTGCAACTTATTGTAGATGGTGACACGTGACATCTGTTGGACCGTTGGATCAAGGGCTTCTAGCGGCATCTATCTTCATTTGCGGAAGAGAAAAAGATGGGTAGTTATATTCACACCACATTTTTTTAGGTTATGAACTTTTGTTCATCATCACACTTATATTCTTAAATTATTTTTTTATCGCTTTCTTATTTTTAACATTTTATTAATTAGAAAATTTATCCTTAATCACGATTTTCGTCCAAAAATATGTTAACGTACTTTAAAATAAGAGTCAAATATTTAATTGTGTTTTTTCAATATTATTTGTTTTTCTTATATAAAAATACAGTCTTTTTACTCTATCTTAAAGAAATTTTTGGAGAGACTATAATTAGGAACAATTTATGTTAATTTGAGAATATGAAAACAAAGAAAAAATGTTTATTGATGTGATAATGTGTAAGTGTTATGAACATTTCATGAAATTAAAACGTAGTCTAATTATTAAAAAAGTAAATTATTTTTTTTGTCCACAGTGGATATGATAAAACTGCTCACTTATCAATGTGGCGGGAGAACTTTACTTTGAGTTAGCACATTTGGAGAGAATTGTAAGTTAAAAAATATGGTGTGAATATATTTAGTCAAAAATCAATTCTCTCCCTTCCAACCACAGCTCTTCTACTTTCTTATTTCGTCATAGTGTTTGGAGTTTCCCTTGTGTGCGATGAAAACTGAGTTTTTTCTTGTTGCTAGAAGAAGAATTGGTTTGTGGTTGATGAACAATAACCCTTTGTACGGTTTCGGATTGACTTTATTTTTTTGAGGCTTTTATAGCATGTTGGGGCTATAACTTCGTAAATGTTTCACCATTGTTCTATAATTGATGTTTAGTACTTGAGCATTATTCCTCGATGGATGCTCAATGGGGATTAGGCTTCGGGTGAACCTTGGCTCGTCGAACAAAAAATCTTGGTCTTCATTTTCATGTCTGCACTCTGATGTGTAGTATGTTTGACTAGAGAATATGGACATAATAAGTATGATTGAGAACGAATTTTTTTAGTTAAAAATACTATTTTAGAATCAGCAATTTAAGTTGGAGGTATAGACCCAAATCGTCCCTATAGTAAATAAAAAAAAAAGGGTCTAACCTCAATACATAGGTCTATAAACACGATATAGACTCAGACCAAGAACTCTGTTGGGCTTAAGGTTGCCCCAATACAATCAACATAAAACAATACTCGACATAAATTGGTACACCAGAAGTGAGCCATTCACAATCCTCTTGTACAAGATAAATGTCACAATGTCTGAACCAACTAGTGTACATCTTTAACTAAAGGGACCACAACCACCTCGTGAGAAATACAGTCCTCAAGAATCATCATCAATGTTACTAGGCTTTGATCTGCTAGTGGACTGCATTTGTGAAGATCTGCGGAATCTGGAATTGAAAGTTGTACTGTAAAAGTTGTTATCCCGTCTGTTCAAAAAGGGCCAGAGTCTGCACTTTGGGCTCGTATTGACAGTTTTATTGCTTTATGGAGGGACCTTTTTTATGCAGGTAATGCTTTCGGATACATGCACAACGATATCAAAGAGAGATCAAACTTGCTAGAAAATGGGTTATGGGCAAATATTGATGAAATCTGACAAAGATAGAGGTTATATGAGAGCGACAATGAGCCAACAAAGTATTGCACAAGTCGCATGATGATAAAGTATGACAAGAAGACAAAATATTTATCTTATTCATTTTACTCTTTTAAGTTCCCAAATATCTACATTGTCAAGAAGTTAGCCCAAATATCTCCTCTTGAGCATGCATTTCTATTTTTCTTTTTGTAGGAATAAAAACAATACCTGTCTAAGTATCTTAACATTGTAATTCCTTCTCTCAAATCCTCGTAATAAGGTTCTTATAAGTTCGTAAAAAAATGGCTGACATTGAAGGGTCCCTTGGAAGCTCCATGCGTGGAGTCGCCGACCGAGAACCTGTTCTCGCCTTCTCCGTGGCTTCCCCGATAGTCCCGACTGATACGACAGCAAAATTCGACCTACCTGTGGATTCAGAACATAAAGCCAAGAAATTTAAGCTATTTTCCTTTGCCAATCCTCACATGAGAACATTCCATCTTTCCTGGATTTCGTTTTTCACCTGTTTTGTGTCCACTTTTGCAGCGGCACCACTTGTTCCAATTATCCGGGACAACCTGAATCTCAAGAAAATTGATATTGGAAATGCTGGAGTGGCTTCTGTTTCGGGAAGTATATTTTCCAGACTTGCAATGGGGGCAGTTTGTGATCTGCTCGGGCCACGATATGGCTGCGCATTTGTAATCAAGTTGTCAACTCCGACCGTCTTCTGCATGTCATTCGTGTCAGACCCAGCCGGATATATTATCGTCAGGTTCATGATTGGATTTTCCCTGGCGACCTTCGTCTCATGCCAGTACTGGATGAGCATAATGTTTGATACTAAGATTATTGGGCTTGTCAATGTAACAGCCGCCGGATGGAGTTGGCGTTGTTATCTCCATCCATCAAGGAGTTGGTGGCTAGCTCCATTCACCATGGAGCTATCTCCATTCACTCGCTGCCTCTTTCGTTGCTGTCATAACCGTCTCTTCTTGCTGCTATTGGACCACCATTTTGTTATTGAAAAATCCCAATATGATCCATAATTTATGGAACCACCTAGTAGCTGTAATATCTAGATTCTTCTTGTATATTGAATAAGCTCAATCAATGAAAGGTACGACTTCAACATTATCTTTTTCACTTTAATATATATATATATATATATATATTACTTGGTATCAGAGCAGCCATGGCCAACGCCACTAGCACGCCTCACGATGCTGCTCCAGCAGCACTGCTGCACCAACACTTGGAAACACTCAGCTCTCACCGTTTAGTGTCAACTTGACTCAAACCGTATCTGTCAAGCTTGACAAGAACAACTATTTGTTGTGGAAGAATATGATCCTTCCAATTATCATAGACCACAATCTGGAAGGCTATATAGTTGGGATAAGGGTATGTCCTCAAGAATTTATTGGTAATCAAATTAATGGAAAAGCTGGAAACAGTATAGAAATGGTGAAGAACCCGGAGTTTTGCCAATGGATGTCAACAGATTAACTGTTGATGGTATGGCTTTACTCATCCATGACTTCAGATATAGCAATGAGAGTGATGTGTGCAATCAACTCGAATGGACTGTGGACTGCCATTGAAGAAAGCTATGGAGTCTAAAATAGATCAAGGATAATTTTCCTCATTGGTGAACTTAAAAAATGCAAGAAAGACAATATGAGCATAGATCAGTACCTGAATAAGGTAAAACAACTCTCTGACAACTTAGAAATTGCTGGGAAAACCATTGCTCACATTGATCTAATCACTCAAGTGAAAGCCCAAGATTGGCTAACCAAGAGGGGGGTGAATTGATTATTAAAATTTTTTTCATTAATTACTCAAGATTTTGATATAAAGACCATGCAAATGATAGAGAATAGTCAAAGTACAAGAAAATAAGCAAATGAAGCAATGTAGATGAACGTGAAGTAAATGTGTTAAGTAAAAGGGATAGAAAGAGCAAATGATATGTTATGGAGGTTCGATCCAATGCAATGATCTACGTCCCCCGTTACCAAACTCTATGGCACGAGCAATGCCTTTTTCACTATATTGATTGACTTATGGTGCAATCCAACCCTTTACAACGCTTCTGATGACTTACAACCAAGGAGCACCGATCCTTTACAATGTTGAGCTTTTCGGGACCTCAACGTGACCCCAAAATGAATTTACAAGTGAAATCTTCTCTTCTTATCGAGTGATAGAATCAAGATTGATAACAAGAAGAGAAGAGGCAAAACACTTCAATAGATGGTAATGAGTTTTGCTCAAAGTGTTGAAATGAAAAACTTCTTGAAGAACAAAAGATTTTCACAAAGTTAAATCACTCAAAAATTTTTCAAGGGTTTTGATGCTTTTGATCTTTATGAAGATGAATAATAAGGTTGTTGTAATCAATAAAAGCTTCACTTTAATGCTCAAGAATTGTTAATACAAGTGAAGGAATAGTGAGGTATTTATAGCAATCAAACAGTCAAAATATATGTTTTACCGAACGCACTATACCGGATATCCTGTAAATACCGGACGATCAAGTATCCGTTAATTTTTGTCAGAAAATATGAACGTTGGAAAAATGATAGTTGGAGCCAAGATGAATAGTGAGGCTTTTGTAGCAATCAAACGGTCAAAATATCTGTTTTACAGAACGCACTATACCGGACATCCGGTAACTACCGGACGGTCAAGTATCCATTAATTTTTGTCAGAGAATATGAACGTTGGAAAAATGACAGTTGGAGCCAAAATCTGGGATACCGGACGTCCGGTATACGTACCGGAAGTCCAGTACACCAGTTTTGGCTCGGAACGTCCTCGTTTCTTGTTTTTATCAAATGTAGGTATTCTAAGGAGGATTTAAAATGTTTTTCAAAGTATATGCTAAACATGTTTTGATCTTTGAAAACATAATT